TAAAATGTCGTGGTGGCCCGGAGGTTTAAGACGCCCACTTCTCATGCATGAGGGTGCGGGTTCGAAACCTACCAACGGCAAGTACCAATGTGACTTTTTCCGAGTTATATGTACTTTCTAAGATTATTTAGACACCACTGACAAACGGTGAAGGAAAAACATCGTGAGGAAACCTGGACTTATAATTTCTAATTATAAGTTTGAAATCACCAACCCGCATTGAGCAAGCGTGGTGATTAACGCTCTAACCTTCTCCGTGTGAGAAGAGGCTTTGCCCAGCAGTGGGCATTTATAGGCTGTTGATGATGAAATGAAAACGGACAGACAGATCACTTGATGGTAAGCAAATCGAATGTCACCCACTAGAATTATGTACTACTTAATATAAGTGCGTAGCTAACCTTTTGAGGTTGGGTGTCGGGTTTCCAGTAACCTCAATCACTGAAACTAAGCAAGTATTGTTTCACACCGGTTTTCGACAAGGCCGTGGTATTATTTCAAATTAGATTTTTTGTCGACAAAAATATAATTGAATAGGTCTTGATTCGCGTCTGGCGCCGCAATTAAAAAGCCTTGAATCAATTCCAGATCTAATGGTCAGCAGATGCGTTTGCGATTGCTATGCTAGATAACCAGAGCGCTTATCATTTGGAGCGAATTATTTTTACAAGTGATAGATATCATTTGATTGATACTGATACGTGATCTTACCATTAAACAGAATTACCAATTCTGAGAACTAACAACTAGGAAAAATATTTAGTTTTTATTTGGCTAAAGGAATCAATTTGCGGCACGCAGTCTGCAGCACCCTCCCACCAGCAGATAAACGATCATACAGCAGAGATGAAAGAGAGATGAGAAACAAAACACACACAAACCATTCGAACCACACTCGCCATAATTATGTTTCGCTTCTGCACATGCCTCTTGTCATATGTCCTCATGTCCTCTTGACATATGTTCGCTCTTCTTCCGCAGAAGTTCCGTAGAAGCGAACATATGTCAAGAGGACATGCTGCAAATTCATTCCTTCAGCGGAATCACAACTAAATATTTTACCCAGGTGTTAGTGAAGCATGGATTTCCGTAAAGTACTTTTTTTTCAAGGGGGGAAATCATCGAATGACTGCTCCCGCCTGGGTGAGGCGGGAGGGAGTGCCATACTCTTACTGACTAAAAACCACCCCGTTCCTTCTCCTGCACATCGAGCCGGAGCCCCGGTAGCCCGTTAGGTTCTCCGCGACTCATTCCGCAAAGTAGATATACGGCTGCTTCTATTCTATAAATTCTGAGAAGGAAAGTATTAATCAACAACTTGTGTTAAAGTCATAGATATCTACATGGATGGAAGGTATTTTAACAAGTACCTATGTACCTCCATGTCTCCGTTGGTTGCTCAAATAAGACACTAATCGTATTAAACTGGCAGAAGCCAGAACCTATCTAATAAAGAACTCAAGGAATGTGGACAAATTGGACCAGATTTACAGCGACCTTCGGCCATCTTGGAAACTTAAATTGGGTTAGTTCGGTCAAGAGTTTCGATGTCAAACGCAGAAATCTTGGACACGGATTGTGCACCTTCCCAGTTGAGAGATCTTTGAACACTAGTTAATTTACGGATTTTGTTTAGTTATACGAACTAAATAGATTTTAGCACCTAAAGTACCTAAAGTATTTGTAATTTACTATAATTTACTTGGATTAAACTTTGGAAAGTGACTGCCTCGTTGGCGGAGCGGTCGCAAGTGCGACTGTCGGGCAAGGGGTCTCAGGTTCGATTCCCGGGTCGGGCAAAGTATTACTGGGTTTTTAAAAATTCTCAGTGGTAGCACGGAGTCTGGAATTGTGCCCAGTATATGGCAATAGGCTCATCCCCTATTACATGGGACTCATAACATAAATAGTGAAAAGTGAGTGTTACATTATACCACTATACAATGTAACGGGATAAAAGGCGTGATGTTATGTATGTATGTATATATTTAGTTTAGAGTTATTCAATATTCCTTCTTTGAAACAGTCTTTGGTCTTGCTTAGTTCATAAGGGTGGGTCACCGACCCATCTTGTTGCAGTATGCAGTCGTGCATGAATACTTCAAGCTTTCTCATTTAGATTAAGAAACACTGATCAAATCAAATCAAAATTACACACAAATACATACACAATTACACATGCAGGTGCATGTACTGATGTTTTAAGTAGGTATCTTTGTTATAAGTTTTATAAAAGACTATCAGCCCGTCCCGGCTTCGCACGGGGTAGACAATTATTTATTTTTGGAAATTTGGATTGTTGTAGTGACAAAACTACAATAGTTGGACATATGTTACCGCGGAGTTTTTTGTAGACATTATGATGTTCTTCAATATTGTTGTACATTATTTTGTTCTATCGCTAATAGTTTCGGAATCGCATTCGACGAAAAACATTTTAAGACTCATTTTTCTACACCTTCCGTTACATTGTTCAAATTTTACCAAGGATCCCTAACTTTTTTCAAAATGAAATGTAGCCTATTGACATTGGAAGAACATAGCAGTCTATTGGTAAAAGAATTTTTTAAATCGGCCCAGTACTTTTTGAGCCTATTCATTACAAACATACAAAAATAGGTACAAATCTTTCCTCTTTATAATATTAGTATAGAAGTATAGATTTATACAAAGATTAATAATATTAGTGTTTTAAAAATACACAACTCGCTATCGCCATCAAAATAGTTGAAGATATGTTAACATAAAAAAAAATTAATGTATAAATTAACATATAAAAAAACAGGTTTGGTTATTAAACTGTCAAACACCAAGCGGTCACCGGTGACCGCAACCTATTGTTCTATAATTGTGTCTACAAAACCGGTACTCGACGAGTTAAGGCGTAAATAAAGCTTAATTTAAAAGGTATAGCCTCCTAAAATATATACAAAATCAGTCCACATGTACTTATATACCAATGTAAAATAAGTACCTATCTATGTTTTATGTATCTACTTACGTAGGAATCTCGAGTGTTTTCCAACACAGCTCAGTCGTGTGGAGTTCACGCACTCCTGCGCACGTAGAGCGCGCTACTATTCGCGGAGTGGTTCTAGTGTTGTGGTTTATTTAATTACTTGTTTGAATTCCAACTGCCGGTTGGTTGAAGTAAGTGTCTTTTTCCACTTTTTTAATTTTTATATATGCCTTGTTACATTCTTGATTGAAATACTCGTCTTTTTTCGTTTCCATGGTTTCTTTTTTTTTAATTGTTAATTTAGTTTCGAATGTGGGTATTGTTATTTACGGAGTTAGATTTTTGAAACGAAATATCGTTACAAAGATGTTGTTGTACAAAATGTTAAGCAGTTAGTTGTGGATTGAAAATAAAACTGTTGAAGGCAAATCCAACGTTAAAGGGGTTACTATACGTCTTATTATTGCCAATCACATTTAACGTGTTAAACAAAAACAATGAAAATTAATGAGCAACAATTAATATTAATTAAATACTGCTCTACTGTGACTAGTAGTCGCAATTCCATTATATTCCCTGATCAGGCAGATTTTCTTGAGTGTGGGAGACCCATGCTTCGGCACGAATGGGCCAGCTCGACCGGAGTGATACCACAGCCTCACAGAAAACCGACGTGAAGCAACGCTTGCGTTATGTTTCGTCGTGTGAGTGAGGTTACCGGAGGCCCAATTACCCTTGCCTTCTCCAATTCCTGAATCCCCAACGATCCTCAAACTCCTAACCCCCAAAATGCCGGTAACGCACTTGTAACGCCTCTGGTGTTCCAGGTGTCCATGGGCGATGGTGATCTGCTCGTTTACCGGCTTATGCCATAAAAAAAGATTACTGATTTTTTGGGGTTTTGTGGGTGTTAGGACAACATGATCCCCTCTGCCTAGTCTGTAGGAGAATGGAAGGTGCAATGTGATATTGTTTGTTTAAAATTTATTTATTAGTCTTCAGTTGGGTACCTAATACAAATATCGATACAATAAATTTTAACATAATAAATGAATGTTTTGTTTTCAACGAAAACTGTATACTGTTGCTTATAAGGTTTCATCCAGTATAGTTTGAAAACTTTGTAGGTAGGTAGTTGTTCCACATTTGGTCCTAGTCTGAAACTGGTTCAAGTGGTTCTTGACCTTAGGACGGGCGAAACAAGTTCCTAAGGGCACAGAGTGCAATGAAACCAAGTGTATTATTATGCTCTATTATATTATACTCCATATTGTTTTATTTCGCCAAAGTCAAGGTCAAAGTCAAAGCATTTATTTCAATTAGAACAATACTGGAGCAATTTTGAATAGAATAATATGTAGTTATGAATAGATATGGGCCTGTCTGTCTGGTTTGTTATTTATCTGGAGCTACTTGTAATTAAATGACTTCAAAAAGAAAAATGTATTTATGTTTGTTTGTTTGTGCGCTACTATCTCACGATTAGCTGAACCGATTTTGTTACGTTTTCAGAGAAGTGTTGGTTACACTTAGGGTTAACATATGTAGCATATTAATTAATTAAAAAAGAGGGGGTTTAAAGTTGATTCTTTTATACCTACGTAGTTTAAGAAATAATTATATTGTATAGCTCACAGAAATACATCTTTAATATATCTGTGGTATAGCTATTTGTTACAAGTGGAATGTTATGTTATAGGGAAGATGGAGTTACAAATTATTATAGGTTTTGACTTATTTGTGTATTTATAGATATTACTAGCTGGGTCCTGTCCTTTTAGAACATAACCTTCATGTTTCAATTTTCCAAAATAAAAGTAGCCTATGTTACTCCTTAGTACATCAGCTACCTGACAATGAAAGTCTTGCGAACTCGGTCCAGCCATTCCAGAGATTAGCCAATACAGGAACACAGATAGACAGACAAATATTTAAAAAAACATTATTTTGCTATGTGTGTCGTATGTAGTAAAAAGGTTATTTTAATATTACAAACAGACACTCCAATTTTATTTGTCTTTTTACTTTTTTTATGGTATAATCCGGTAAACGAGCAGACGGATAACCTGATGGTAAGCAATCGGCGTCGCCCATTGATACCCGGAACACCAAGGCGTTACAAGTGCGTTACCGGCCTTTTGGGAATTGGGAATTTGAGGATTGTGGAGGATTCGGGGATTGGGGAGACTGGGGAGACTGGGGAGACTGGGGAGACTGGGGAGACTGGGGAGTGTAGGTAATTGGGCCTCCGGTAAAAAAACGCAAGCGTTATTTCACGTCGGTTTTCTGTGATGCCGTGGTATCACTCCGGTCGAGCCGGCCTATTCGTGCCGAAGCATGGCTCTCCCACACTTTAAGTGTACAGAATAGATATATGTACCTTCTTATATAACCAACAATTGCTGTACCTCGCAACTTTAGTTTAGTTTAGGATAAGTGTTAATTTATTCGATTGCAGTTTATCCTTTTTTATAGAAATGTATGGGATTCGCGTAATATTTAAGGTCCGTGCACGCTGCTCACGAGGAAGAGTCATGAAAAATATAATTTAAGTTTTCTTCTCGTAAGAAATAGCTTTGGAAATGTATTGATAGGTATTTTATTTAACGCATTAAACGCCATGAGGGTATCTGGTGACTGACGTTAGCGGAGGAGGCCTTAAACGGTTCTCTACTGCCAACCATAATATCCAAGTGCGTCTTGCTACATCTTATACTATTATATAAAGCTGAAGAGTTTGTTTGTTTGTTTGAACGCGCTACTCTCCGTAACTACAAGTCTGATTTGAAGACTTCTTTTTGTGTTGAATAGAGCATTTATCGAGGATGGCTATAGGCTATAAAACATCACGTTACGACCAATAGGAGCTGAGCAGAGCGCGTGAAACCGCGCGGAAGTAGCTAGTTAATTTATAAAAGTTAAACTCACACTCACAGTCTCTCTGTGTGCCTTTAGGCTTAATTCATTCTGTCTCCTGCAGTAATTCACCGAGGGAAGTTTTTTCTTCTCCTCTTATAATATATTCTGATTTACTTCGTTACGGGGACCAAGACAGTTATTAATGTCCCTGGGACGCGCCGGACTTCAGCGTTCCGGTGTTTTCATGGTTGTATCTACTTACTGTAGATCCTAGCTTACAGGAGTTACAGTAACTTTAAGAGGGTGCGGCGAGCTTGTCCCAAAAAAAAGTTAAGCTTTAAAAGATATTTGAATAATCCGTAAATAATGTATTTAAATCAAATCTCAAATGCTCAGTCAGTTAGAAAATAATCTAAGCGTTGATAATAAACTTGATGTTTAATGAAGATTAATATTTGAAGATTTAATGCTGTTTAATTTTTAAGATTTTTCAAGCAGAAGATAATTTAATAAGGTTACTAGGAATTTTGTTTAGTGACTCGGCAGAAATAGTAATATCCTGTCTGCGTTTATCGGATTGGGAGCAATGGACCTCTTATGAATCCTGAGGCTCTCCAGGGTTTTGGGGTTCTGAGGATTCTAGACATCTGAGTTGTGCAATATATGGTAAATTTATCCCATAAAGAGACTCATACAAAACGAAAAATGAGTTGTTCGTTTATTTTCGTACGCCTCTGCTTATCCCTCTTTCAAAGATTAAAAGGTGAAATGTTTTAAACAGATAAGAAAATGTTAAAGATAGTACATACAGTGGTAGGTATTAAGTGGCGTAATGTGCACCTCCGCCTACCCCTTCGGGGAAAAAAGGCGTGATGTTATGTTATTGTTGTATTCTTTGAATGCTTTGCTTATTACAATTATCAATGATAAAGTTTTCTTTTGTTGGCTTGGCTCTAGGCTATCGGAAGATAGCCTCCTTGACCTTCTTAGGCTATTGACCGCTTCGCTTCATAGACAATTTAGGTATTCAATAGTCTCACTAGCGACAATTCGTCCAATGAGACAAGCACTAATATAATAAATCTGCAATTTCCTACAAGGTCTCATATACCATCTACTATATGTAGTCATCAGAATTGGTTCAGTAGTTTAGGTGTTGAGGCTTAACAAACACACTTACATATGTGTAGTAATATACAGGCAGTCGCACTTGCGACCGCTCGGCCAACGAGGCAGTCTATGTGTAGTAAATTAATAAAAGAATATGTGTAGTAAATTAATAAAAGGTGACATTCTTCTAGAAAGCAACTATAATAGGAGAATTAGGGCAGATCGCTTGTTTATTTTCTAGGTACCTCGACTTTAGTGCGGTGAAGGTGAGCAAGGGTATCTTGCCTCCTGACCAAAATCAGACCAGTGCGTACGGCCTCACAGGGCCATTAGACCACCATAGATGGGGCCCAATAGGGCTGATGCCCGATAAGGAGCCGCGGAAGGCCTATTGCCGGGGCTCCGGCTCGTTGTCGTAGGAATGGGGTGGTTTATTGTCAGGAAGAGTCTGACTCTGAAAAGTCATTGGATGATTTCCCCCCTTAAAAAAAGGTACCTCGAATTTAAATAAGTAGATAGTAATAAAAGGTTTTTTTTTAAGTAAATATCTTTCTGTTACGTAAGAAAATCGGCAAAAGACTTCATCGAATCGATGTATTGCTTACTAGTTACATTTATAACCATTCGATAATTAATCAACTATGTAAGTACACTATCTAAGCTAGAAATTGTTAATAGTTACTGTTTCCAGTGATTAGCTATTTCGAATGTTCGTATTCGTGTAATAATCGCATTAACAACTATTAACAAGTCACTTGTAGTCATCCAGAAAATGCAATGCAACGAATTCTAATTAATACTAATTATACTCTAAATCAAACGTTGCTATCTACTATTTTCATCATTGTCCATTTGACCAATTAAAATTGTTTTCGATTTACACTTCGTTGCAAAAAAAACAGACAGTGCTTTTTCTCTGTCGGAAAATTGGTACCATTTTGAAGTATTAACAGGAAAATCTATATTGTTGGTTTGAATTTGTTCTTGTAGTGTCAAAGTCAAACTAAAAGCATTTATTTCAATTAATCCATAGTTAGGCACTTTTGAAACGTCAAAAATTTAGTTGACCGTCCGTCCGTTCGTCCGTCAAACGCGTCTTGCTAAATCACACATCATATCAACAGTCTATGAGCCTATAAGTGACCACTGCTGACCAAAAGCCTCTTCTCACACAGAAAAGGTTTAAACATTAATCACCACGCTTGCTCAATGTGGGTTGGCT